AATAATGACTGGCCAGGCTGGTAAAATACTGCCATTAGCGGGTGGAAATTTTATCGCTAATGCGCCAAAGCTTCTGTGCCAAAAAAGGGCGAGCTAGATTGTCATAAGGCAAAAATGTTAAAGTTTTCATATTATTTTTTTTTGGATCCTTTGCACTAGGTTCATTAGTTGGTTTGGCGCGCTTTTTTTTTAATTGCAAGGAGAATATGCAAAAGAAGCATCACGTCTCAACGACTAATGCTCCTTTCACACATCAACACGAGTAGCAAAGCGCAAAACACAAAAACCGATACATTCTAATGTAGCTTGTTCACACCTGCGCGTCGTCCACACCACACGGAAACGCACATCATGCAAAAAAGTACAAGTGCGAAATTCTGGGTGACTTCCGCTCGTCCGGGTTTAGTAGTAGCTGCAAACGTGCGGAAAACCGTGCTAAGTTCAAACGGCTATGTGTGAACGGAGCCTCTTGGAAGGAATTAGCTGGGTGCTTGCTGCTGGGAGCACATCCTCGCTCCAATATGAGCCCATACAAACAAAAGATAAGCTGGCTGCACATCACATTCTGCTGGGATAGTTTATTGGAACTCGTACCCTCCCAAGGTCCACCCCCTGTGACATGTTTCACCCAATCACGGGTTTAGCCAAAGAGATGACTATGTTTGTATGGACCTTCCCAAGGTGCGCCCCACTGACACTTTTCACCCAATCACGGGCTTAGTCATAGAGATGACTATGTTTGTATGGACGCATTTGTTAAATTGCTGTATTTGGAAAGTCACATTTTTCATGACCGTTTTCCATGAGGTCTCAGATTGAAACCGGTTACTGTAAATTGTAATATTACGGCTAAGGACGCTTTGTTTTAAATATATATAACAGACAGTGCAACTTTTATTTTGCCCACAAATTGGATGAACCCACGTCTTCACAGGGCGGTCTGTCCATACAAAGGAGTTAAAGACGTGAGTTATGAAGCGCGGACGCTGTGTTTGTGTCTGGTGGAAGACATCTCTGTGGAAATCATAATTTTATAAGTAGCAGAATGGTTGTGGTGGAAATAATTTGGCAGCCGGCATTTCTTTCTTTGAAGTGTACCTATCCTGCAGTGCAGAGCAGCTGCCTCTGAAAGCGATCCAGCAGTGGGAATAGATTGGGTAGCTATGCTTGGGCTTGCTGATTGGCCATGGTGGCACAGAGCATTGCATTGTGGGAGAATGTATAGGTTTGCCTTCGTAAGTGTAATGGTGCTGACATGGCTGTGGTGGTGGATCCAGCTGCCGGGGAAGCAGATCAGGGCTAAAGTCCGTGACACACTGCAGGTGAAGCAGCGTAGAGCAAAGGGAAGCGGCGGTGCGCAAACCTCTGTGTGCAGCGTGTCTTGCAATTTTTGCTCCAGCGTGTCAGCTTGCGAAAGCTCGCATAGGCTTGCGCGAGAGGATGCAAAGTCCATTAAGTTGTTACGAGTGAGCTGATTGGCTGAAGATGAAGTCTTTCATCTGGCTGCGCTCAGTTACTCAAGCTCTCACACACTACATGTGAGTGTCCGTGCCTCGCAGTGTAGCTTTGCTCCGCACGGCTTCGCATGCAGTGTGTCACGGACTTAAGAGTTGTCACCTTCTGCTAATTGCTGTGTAATTTGAATCTGATCTCCAGGCAGATATAAAAGACACTAACTAAAGCCGACCTTTACCCTTTACATATCTACAAAATGTAGACAAAGGCACCTTTAGAAATGTTTAGTAATGACAATCTACAAACACATACTTCTAGATAATTGTCGGCTTTGCATTCTTTGCATTCCTTATTTTTCTTTCCTCCACATTCTTCTCACAGTGACCATTTTTACTAAGGGCAGATTAATATATCTCCCTTTACTTCCTGGAACTCTGGCACATGTGACTAGGACATGTGACCATGTAGATCATCTCTGGGGAGGAAAATGCCTTTACCTGAGATCTCGTGAGATTATAGGTGAGATTTCCCAGAAATGCTCTGTTGATGTAACCTTCCCAGGAATTGATCACTTGGGCACATTACAACACTAATGCCCAAGATGACCAGGAAGTGGAAAAACAGTGATTGTAAGTAAATTAAAAATATGTTTGTTTAATGAATGTAAGATGATTTCATATCAGTATGCAGAGCTGCATGCTGCTGTGATTTTTAGTCAGAGGTCTGCTTTACCGCGTCTCTGTATTCATCAATACATCATTAAATGTATTTTTTATACAAGCAGTAAAAGTACCTGAATGTGACTTTGTATCAGCCTCTTGCAGTCCCTAAACAGCAGAGCTAATGGGGAGAGCAAGAAGCCAATCTGTTCATGTGTTGGCAAGAAACATGTTGATAGAAAGAAAAAGCAGATAGATTAGCTCATCTCTGTGCGGCTTCTTCTTTCACTGTCCATTCACAGGCTGTGGGCGGGATCATGACAGCCTGGGCTCAGAAGTGCAGTAAAAGATTCTGGCTGACAACTCGGAAGACCGAGGACATCTTGTGGTGGAAAAGAAGTACTGCAGCAGACAGTTGTAGCTTGATGGTGCGTATTGCAGCAAAATCTGTTTTTCTATTATATCTTTCAAAGGCGATTCATTTTTTTGGTTGGGGTTATGCTTTACCAAACAGCTTTATTTTAATCAAACCTTTAATTGTGTAATTAAACCGCTATGTGGATTCACCCATTAATATAATAGGCCCGTAGTCTGGTAGCACAGTGGGTCAAAGAGCCAGTTTCCCAGCTTAAAGTATATCCAGACAGTTTTTTGGGATGGGCTGGGGAAGGTTGAGTACCCCTGTCAGGTTTCACTGCCATGTGGGGCTCCGTTACATAGATTTTCCATCACTTCCTCTTCTGGGGACACCCGTTTTACCAGACAGGAATTCAGGGAAATTCTGCAACAGGGGAGCAAACAGTAATAAAACGCTGACAAGGGTGCTAGCCGTCCTATACTCTACCAAAAAATATTTATTTCTGTATGTGCTGCTGTTGGAGATTTACCTCCACTTCCTGTCCTGGTGACCACTGCTCCCATTTCTTGTACTGGTGTCACATGGACAGAAAGTGAGGGGAAAATCTCCCCTATGTGGTTACAGATAGAAATATAATAACCTGACAGAAATGTAAAAGTGTAACTGCAGCCAAAACTTATTTTTTTATATTGTTGGATAGAGTGGAGAGGGATTATAACTGCTGTCAGGTTTGTATTGCTGTCTGTGTCCCCGTTAGGGAGATTCATCCTCTCTATTTGTCCTGGGGACTGATTCTAAAATTTTGGGTTGTCACTAGAAAAGGAATAGACAAGGAGGGGAATTTATCAAAACTGGAGCAGACAAAATCTGGAGCAGCTGTGCATGGCAACCAATAAGCTTCTCTCTTTCATTTTCAAATCTTAAATGAACAAACTGAAGAGAGAAGCTGATTGGTCGCCATGCACAGCTGCTCCAGATTTTGTCTGCTCCAGTTTTGATAAATTCCCCTCAAGAAATCTTCCAATGGGGACACTAGTTCTGGTGACCACCAGGGATTTCCCTCTGTTTGGAGGGATTTCCTCCCACTACCTGTTGTGGCTATCAGACAGGAAGTGAAGGGAAATTTCCCCAATTGGACACTGATGGCAAAAAAAAGCTTACAGGGGTTAAAACCCTCCCTTGGCGCAGGTTCACACCATTTTCCAGACCACATCTGGAACGCGGTGCATTGCGTTTTCACCGCAATTTTGCTGTGTTTGGAATTTTTTTACAGCTTAAAATGTCTTACAGGAGCATTCCAGTGCGTTTGTGATGCGTTCCAGTGCATTCCAGACCAGACAAAATGAGACATGCAGTATTTTTCTGATCAGGTCTGGAACGGACTGCGCTGCTGTGAACAGAGGCCAGAAATAGCATAGGGATACATTAAGATGCATATTGGGTCCGGAAACAATCTGGTCTGGAGATGATCTGGATGTGGTGTGAATGGGCCCTCACTCTACCCAATACGAAATAAAAAGTTTTGGCTTCAGTTCTACTTCAACTTTTCCTGACCCTTCGCCTAAAAAAATTGTCTGTAATTAAGCTTTAAATAAATAAAGACTTTCCACTAATTCTGGCAATACACATATTGATAAACGATTGGTTATGGATCGATCTTCACTCAGAAATAGATCACTTAATGCACCATAGAAAAAAACAAACAACTAAATCAGTGGGAAATCGATTGGATTTTCTGGCCCTTGTTATTGATAACGATCATTAGTAGATCAAAATGATCACTCAGCGCAGGTGATTTTATTTATTGATTCTTAGATTAAAACGCCATAGCGAACACAATTATACGGCCCGTGTTGGCGCTAAAAATACACCCCCGTCATCTGGTTTACAGCCAACCAGCTCAACATTGGCTGGACAGACCGACGTCGGCCTCCACAGTGTTTGGTGACAGGTCCTCTTTAACATTTCAATGGTGTTTTAGGCCTCATTCAGTGAGATTTGGAAGTCTTTCCGCTGCTCAACCACAGCTGATGT